TGGTAAATAATCAAAGAGGAGGAGGGAAATCACATACAACACTAGTGATGTCGGATACCGAAAATATATGAGCATTTCTTGAGGTAACATCTCCCCGGAATTGGGTTACATAAGTTGAGGGCAACCATATGTCGCCCCCATCTGACTCAGGGGACTCACACTCACCCGACTCACCCTCACCACCGGACTCACCGAACTTACCCCCACACTGAGATGATAAGAAACGAGAAATGTTCCTGCGTGGCTCTGTAAAATTCCATGTAATCATTAGTACACAAACCAAAGTGGAATGTGATTTTGGGAGTATAATAATCTTACAGAGAGCGTGGAGAGTCGTCTCAGCAAATACATTCCCTTTGCGATTTGAGAATGTGATTGGGTCGATTAGGGATTTGAGCAATGACTTCCTATGAAGAGCAGTAAGCTTAATTTGTCTGTAAAATGAAACGAAGTTCAATCATGTGAGACTTCTCATAAAAGGAGCAATACAAGCAAAAATGGCCCCANACCAGAGCTAAATGAGAAGCAAGTCTAGGCATGTTACTTCATTGTATGCGTCATAATCCAAGCACTTGCGAAAGAAATTGAGCCTAAGAGGTTACGAAATACGAACCTTCTACGAGCAGGTAGTGGAGCCTCGCTGAGTTGCAGCCGCTGTGGGGAACTAGATCTCCTTTTCACAGAACTTGTCTCGAAGAGGTTAGGACGACAAAGAGAATTATTTGGGCCAAATTTCGAAATAGAGAGCCCATTAACAAGTTGTTGTTTGGTCCNACACGTATCATTGTAAAAGGGAGATAACGAATGGGCCAATTGTCATGGCAAGCCCAACATAAAAGTCATTACGACCCAAGCTTCACGACAATTCACGTGCATAATGTTTTTTTTTTCACACATAAACCTTTCATTCCATTGATGATATATGGTCGCCATGTATCTAGGAATATAAGAATACAACATNAACATTTGAGTTTGCGAGATATTCTTAACTAAAATATTAGACTACTTCTGATAGCTCAAAACGTTGTTGCCACTNTTGAATTTCACAAATCCAATTGTAGAGCCCAAAGTTCTTCTCTTTTCCATTGATAAAGCATATATAGTTTTGTTATCACCTTCAAAGATAATCTTCTTCGAAACCAAGAGTGTTGGGTCACCAATAAAAGGGCTTGTATACTGCTTCAAGAATTAGAACTGTATCGCAAGTATCGCAAATAGTCCCATGCTCTGACCTGCCTCAAGGAAAAAACCCTTTGAATCGCGAATTATTCCGATGGAGTGCCATNTTTCTTAAATCTGCAATCATAGTTGCATTTAACAAAGTCTTGTCTTGGTCTTTTCCCCTTGAAGACCAAGACCAAGTCTTGTCTTGGTCTAACAAGGGGATGCATTGCATAATCCCCTTGAAGAAGTCGATGTGTTTTTCTTANTCTTCTCTTGGTTACATGCTAACCACTCTCTGCTTTTCGAATATGGAAGATTTTGACTCTTCCATATTCTCCACAAAATCCAGAGAGGGAGTTGCCTCATCAATGTCGTTAAGCTCTGATCATTATAAACGTCAATGATAGCCTTGAATTTGTCAGAAAACAAAAGGGATG